CCAGGAAATCCAGAACGTGATAAAATTATCTGTATGTATTACAATTTTACACTTCTACTTATATTTCTTAGTTACTTTAAATGTATGTACTCCCCATAAATCTTATATTTATATGCTTATTTATAGATTATTCAAGATGGCACCCCCCTTGGGAGTTCAGAATTTTATGCGATGAGGCTTGTATCAGTCTTGTAGTTTTGAGAGCATCACTGATGTTTCTTGCTTTTGTAGCTGTTTATTTTATCAAAAAACACTTTACAAACATGCATATGTCCACCTAACTGGATTTTAAGTACATATTGTCTTCTGAATATACTTGCTAATGAATTAAGCAAAAAAGTTATATTTACATAACTTTAAAGACAACTTTCTTTGACAATAATTTTGTTGCCATTATTTTATGCTCCTTAGAGAAAGTTAACATGCCAAAAAAAGTGAAATTCTAGGTGGTTAAAACCCATATTGGGAAAATATTAAGCTAAAGATGGTATCTGGTAAGGTTTGGAGCCTTATTTTTAAATACCGAATTTCCCCAAACTGTGACGTACTCTGTTCCTGGAATTCAAGGAGAAAAGTATGTGTCAGTTAAACAACGGTTAAAATTCATACTAAGCCAATATTTGAAATCACAATTGCTTAATTTAGATGCTGAGAGAAACCTAGCATCATATCATGTACTCAGTCCTGTTTCCTAGAGTGACAGAATGTTCTGAATAAAATGTATAAAGTCAGAAGATGTTATACAAAGATGGTTCTTTAGAAGTCTTGATATTTGTGAAGTTAGTACAACTTGGTATTTATAAGTTAATGCATTTATTTTTGCTCATTCAAAATGCGAATCTTTAGATTTTTTATTATTTTGTTCCTAACTCCCTCTAAACCTTGTGCTTAATTTTCATTTTTTTATTCCTTGTTTTAATGTGTACCGTTACTTACGTATAGCATATTTCCTGTTTTGTAAGTGTTCTAAAGTTTTAATAATAAATTTTCTTTGTTTTATCTTGAAACTTGCTAAAGTCCATTTAATCAACAGAGATTTTACTATTCTATATCCAAGGCTTGAAGTCTTTCGTTAATATGCTTTAATTTCACTTTCTCCAAAAGACTGATTAAATTTATACAAGAATCTGAAGCTTTTTTCCTTCTAGCAAAAATCTGGCAAACTAGATTTTTTCCTGATTGTATCAGTCTTTTCTAGTGAATGCCAATATGGCTGTATGAAAGTTCATTATTCTTAGGTAATGTCTCACCATTGTTTTAAAATGAACAAATAAAAAACCCACAAATTCTGCTATTTTCTTAATGTTCAGAACTCAAATTAAGCCTAAAGGAAGCTTCTGTGAGTTCAGCTTTAGGAACTAATTTGTCTGTCTTTCTCTGTGTGCGATTGACAATTTAGGTCTAAAACATTTCAATTTATTATCTAAATCTATACTGATAATTCCGTTGATTATATAAAAAAAACCCCTTATTTTAAGTCTCAAAGAAAATAAGATAGACCTTTATTGTAGATTAATGTAAAATTAGGCGAGTGCTAGCTATTTCTTCTGTAAGTTTTCTAAAATTACTAAAATACAGAACAGACTTTTCAAATAAAAGTTTATTATTTAAACCTTGGATTACACTATCAAATCTCGAAGTGTAATACTATATACCTAAACCCATAAATAGGTGGCTCCTACACGCAAAATCGTGCAGTATGAACGCTCCTGAGCAGCGGCTCATCCCATTGGTTTACCTGGAAGTTGCTGATATTCACCATCTTGGAAGATAAAATCATTATTTAGATGCTGGTTTAGAGTTGAAAAGCTTATTTCAGAGCTAAATTTCAGACGTCTATAAGGAAGAAGTTTCCTTAATACTTGAAATAGAAAATTTGGTACTACAATAAAGCTCTTTCAAGCTTTAAAGTGTTACTATTGCATCATTTTAAGATGCTGCCTTTTTACTAACAAAACCTGCCATTTACATTCAGTTATTAAAACACAAGTTTTCCTACTTGGAGCTGTGAGATAACCTGGAAGAAATTCATATCTAACACAGTAATTCCTTATCCCTGAGAATAACTGTCCTTCTTGTCATTTAGTAACTCGATTACAGTTAGGACTGTGACAATCAGAGTATGCCCTGGAGAGAAGGCAAAGTTGAAAAAGAGCTCTGCGGTCTCCCAAAGCTTTAGAAAAACCTCGGTTCTTACTGGCCGTATTTATGCCAGGCTGATAGTAGCCCTTTCACCTGAGACATAGTTTTAGTGTTTTTCCTGAGCTAAGCAGTGTGGAATTTGCAACACTGAATGATATACAGATAGTGATGCCATCAGATCGTGTATCAATAAATGAAGTAGTTTTGCGTCCATTAAAATATTTTTCCATTCTGCTTTCCTGAACTTGTGATACAAGGTTTCTGTCCTCATTGCTGGTTCTCATGGTGTCCACACAAAATAAGTGCAGTTTGCCCCGTTCCCTAGTGTGGTGTCTTTGGGAGGAAATCTAGGAATGGCTGAGAACATAGTTCATTCCAAGATCTCCTTTCTAAAAATGGCATAGGTGTAGGCTGTAATGCCTTGCTGTATCTTCTCTCAGGAGATTCCTGAGTATTACTCCGTAACATTCCGACAGTATTGTAGCAGTTCTTGAACTTTCACGCTTTTCATGCTGCTGCCATGCGTCAACCATTTCTGGTGTTATCCTGTGGAAACAGGCTTATGATGGACAGCAGAAAAGCCTTCTCATTTTTCAAATGCCTTGAATTTAAAAACAAAGATGGAAATGTGACAAATGATAGCAATTTAAGTTCCAGAAATTGAAATCACGTATGAAGGGCAAGGAAGGTAACCAGAGATCCTCTCCAGCTAGGCAAATACTTGTATTCTCTAACAAGCTTCCTGTATCTGCGTTGTTGAGATTGTGCTAAATCCTTCATCCTGTGCAACCTGCTGAAGCTTTGGCTCCATCAAGGAATCACAGAAGGGTTGTGGTTGGCAGAGACCTCTGGAGGTCATCTGGTCCAGCCCCCTGCTCAAGCAGGGCCCCCTAGACCTGGTTGCACAGGACCATGTCCAGATGGCTTTTGAGTATCTCCATGGATGGGGACTCTGCAGCCTCCCAGGGCAACCTGTGCCAGTGTTTGGTCACCCTCACAGTCAAAACGTGTTTTCTGATGTTGAGAGGGAACCTCTTGTGTTTCAGTTTGTGCGCATTGCCTCTTGTCCTGTCACTGGGCACCACTGAGCAGAGCCTGGCTCTCTCACCCTTACACCCTCCTTTCAGGTATTCATAGGGTTCAGGAGGCTGCTGTCTTCCACGGCACTACCACTGCCTGTCGTCTTCCCTTCACAATCTTTAGCAGAGCTATCACCAAAGGCAAGAGCCAGCCTTTCACGCTTCCCATCTCCTTTGGTTGAGGGGAGGGAGTGAAACAGGCTGTCCTCGCGGGGCAAAGTAGATGTGACAAAGCAGATGCCTTGACTGTCGGGAGGTGGGCACCCCAGGGGAAAGAACTCCTAGCAGCCTGCTGTGCTTTGGTCCGTATGAGATCCCAGCACTTTGTGGAGAGAACGCAGCAAGCGATGCAGCGTCATTTTGCTCAGTTAGGCCAAGGGGCATCATTGCAGTAAGCAATTTATTACAGTAAAACTACCTGCAGTCCAACCACATTCTGATGACCTCCCCTCTTAATTGTGAGGCTGTTTGCAGCCTCATTATTACAAAGCAATTGCAAGATTTTTTTTTAGCTTTTAATAAATACAGAATAATTCTTGTGGAAATCTAGTACCACCACCATCCTTTCATTTAATCTGTGTTCTGCCCTGAGGTGAGATTGTGTAATAGAAGTAGCGATGTATGTCAGAATATTAGTTTATTCACAGGTCTGGAAGGCCAAGTGATCTTGCAGCTGCCCTATCCCGTGGACAGAACAAGAAACCCCAGCAGATCCCCCCAGTTTGTTCAGCTGAACCTAGTAAGTCAAGGACAAACAGACTTTCTCCCCAACACAAGTAACAATAGTTGGTGGGGAAGTTGATGATTTGAGGACAAAATTAAACGTGATTTTACAGATTCCCAGGCATCTTGGATATCTGTAATAGGCTGTAATCCACCAGCCTTTAGTCCTGTGGCTGAATTGTACATTAGGGAAAAACTAAGAATCTGAGGTCTTATGTTTCCAGCCATTTTAAACTGAAGGCAGGAGGTGAGAAGTGAGACAGGGAGATGTAAACATGGGCATTTTTTCAAAATCATTGGGCTGTACAGCTTCCTGCTGATACCCAGCTCATAGTGCTAAATTTCACTTGAGATCTACGCAGGGACAGGCAATGCTTCTATTGTCCAGACAAATACAACATGATATCCAAATCCCAAAGCTTAATTTTCATCTGGTTTGCAAGATCCACTGATTAATGCTGGCAAAGGATTATAACTCTCTTCGTGTGAAAACATTGGTTATAGATGCTTGAGGGCAGGCTGGACTTCTGCTTTAATTATAGACAGAATCACTAGATGGAGCCAGAGTCATCTCTGCAGGAAAACATCTAACCTGGACTATCTGTCCTGCATATGTCAAAATTTCCTACTTTATAAAGACCTCGGTTCAGTTTCCCAGCACAGAATTTCAACTGCGTGCATATATAACTCCAGGATCACTGCACTGCTAAATTATTGGTGCCGTTTTAGTGTGGTGATAGTTTTTGTGCAAATTGCGTGTAGTTGTAATATAATCGTGGCTTTACAGTAAGTCTAGCTGACCAGAGGCTTTAGATTCTGATAGATTGCATGGGCATTATTAGAAAAGAAAAAGAAAGAGAAAACATAGTTACTTTGTAGTTTCAAGGGAATATTCAGCTGGAGAAATAACTGGCAGCAAACTGCTCTCAGCTGCCCTGGTTTAGGAAAGAGGCAAGATGACTTCCAAAGGACCAAAGCAGTGGAGAGGCTGCCAATGTTCAGTTCAGAAGCAAGGGAGAGAGTCATTCACCATAAATTTTCACAATTTCATCTAAGGATCTCTCCATTACCTGGTGCTCCACACACCCCACACCCCCCCCACTGCCAGTGGCACCTGCATGGTGCCTTGTGGGTCTCAGGAGTGCCCATGGTGGATCGGAAGGTCCTTGTAGCCCCGAAGCAAGCAGCCGACAGGAGAGACCAACCTCTGTCCTCTGGCAGGACAGAAGGTAACGGCACCCACGGGAAGAAACCTCCCTCCCAAGATCCCCTTCACCATCCCAGCCTGACCAGCAGCCACCAACACCAGCAAGAGGCCATCCTCCCGAACATTTTAAAATGTCCCACCACAGCAGAGGGTCCCACCGCCTTCGCCAGTGCCCACACACAGTTTCTGGGCTAGAGCGTGACAGCGGAAGAGAAGAGAAACTACGTCTGCTGGACGAGGGACCTTGGCACTGTCGGTGGTAGACCAGGAGACAGAGTCAGTGGGTGGATCTTCTAAATGTAAGTGAGATCATGACCATCGCATATGTGTTCTGGAAGCAAATGGAGCCGTGGCCAACCCTTGGTAGAGGAACGGGTGAAGCGATTAGAGCTAGAAGTCAATGGCTGGGCTGCAAGCATGTCCACTGCCTTGGACTGGGGTTGTGTCGGGGTTGGTGCTTCACCTCCCGCTTCCCTTTACTTGCCAAGGGAGGTGAGAGGTTGAGATGGCTGGTAGTGCCTCCTGCGTCTTTTCATCAAGGACACGACGGGACCAAAAGCGTCTTGGAGCCGGCGTGCTGTGCCTACGGAGAAGGTGGCCAGTCTCCTCCCACTGACCGCTTCGGCTTGGTCTTTTTTAAAGAAATAATTGATTAGAGAAAAAATTGGTGATCTTACTGGGAGAGTTTCAAAGCACAGGAAGCTATTGTAAAAGAAAAGGGGAAGAAAAAATACTTGCTCAGTTCCCTCTCCATCCAGGTCTCTTGTGCCTCTGAGGGCTGTTTATTGTTAAAGGCTGTGTTAAGCCTGTCCAACAACAGTAATTGGAGACCCCCTTTTTGTTTCTGTCCCAAAAGATCCAAAACTCCCGGTGTGTGTCCCCACCCCCAAACTTTGTTGCCTTCTACAGCTGCCCCTACCTTCATGAATTTGGTTGGCAAATCATGGCAGGGCTAAGAGGAAGGTATGGAGAGTTAGTAATGCATGGAAATCCTTAAACACATGCACACAGAGAAATACTTAATTATATGCCTCCATTAATAGCCTATATAGGTACAGCTGTGATGTTGTTGGAGGGCTACAGCTCCTTCAGCCTATCTGAATTAGGTGTACAGATTGTTACAAGACTCTGAAGCAAATCAAGGGTATTATTTAAGAGGGAAAAGCCATCGTGCAAACCCAGAAGGCAACACCAGAATGGTAATTTCCACAAGTGTTCAGCAGGATAAAGCCTGACCTGAAAAACTGAGCAGGGAATCAGACCCATGAAAGTTGTTTACAACATATTTTCTCTGTAAAGCTACGTAAATCTGAGTTACAAGACCTTAGCTCTTAAAACGTATGGTTGTTCTTAACGCTCTTGCATTCTTGTGTTACACACCAAACCAGGTCAGAAGGTCTGTTTTGCAGCAAGCTGCTGTTCAGGGACCTTTTTTTTCTTGGGGTGAGGTCGAATTTAAATATATGCAGTTTTCCTAATTCTGTTTATTCCTAGAGTAATTCTGAAATGGAAGCAAGGTAATTTTAATTGAGCTGGTATGACTAAGCTATACTGTAGGAAAATCAGCTGAACAGCAGATTTGTATTTTGTCAAAGCTACGATTTTTATGGTTGACACAGGTTTTAGGAAAGCTGTTCTGCAGCATCTCTTCAGATAAGACCTACAATCACGGAATGGTTTGGCAGTCAACCAGAATGGAGCACACTCAAAGAAAAGACAGAAGTATACCTGGAGTGTTGCTCCTTGCTAATATGCATGGCAGATGCCTGTTTCACGCTTTACCCTTTGATGGCCAGCTATGATGTCAGATAGAGCTGTACCTTATGAAGCAATTTCACTTCCTTTTACTTTGACACTTTCAAGTGCTTCCACACCCAGAGGAAAACCTCTGAAGAGCTGCTTGCCAGTATTATCTCCACTTCAGAGATTTTTCTTTTAAAAACTTAAAAAAAAATACTGAAAGCATTGAAGGATTATGAAAATCACATTTTTCTTTGCTGCATTGTTCTTACTGGATCTCTTCGCTTGCTGTCATGCTTATCCGCAATATCCCTTGCCTGACATAGATGATGCAAAGTTCATTGAAGACTGTGTGAGAGCTCACAACACATTTCGATCCAAAGTGAAGCCACCAGCCAGCAACATGCTTCGCATGGTAAGGAGGCATTAATGATCTGTTTGAAAATTAATATAGATTGTGCTGCTGATTTAGCCCATCTTATTCTTAATTTGCTTTGTGCTTTTCTTTCACTTTCTGTCAATGATTTCTGTACTATATATGTTAGTTCTTTTTAGGAAATAGAAAAGACATTAATTTTCACAATATTGTTTAGTTTTAATAATTTGAAGGGAATTCCTTGTTTAGGGATGGATTGCTACTCTAAACTTCAGCCAGAGCAAAGGGCTGTACTGCAAAAAACAGTATTTGGTTCTCAGCATTTCATTTACCTCTTTCCAAGAGAGATAGTAATCTGTTTTATGTTAGTCCAGGTTTCATACAGGGAAGCTGTTTGGTATTAAAAAGCTCCTGAATAGGCAATCTGCACAATAGGATTTGTCAAAAATCTGTCATCTCCCCTTGTTTCTTCCAATCTCGAACATGTGTTGAAGAAAGGGATTTGCCAGGACATCCGTTTAGATACCTGATCTTCATTTGCTGTAGCAGGGTTTGAAGAGTAGGGATACTAATATCTGGGCTGGAAAGCAGAGCTTCCTATAAATACAGTGGGTATCAGAATAGGCTATGGATAGGTCTCAGCTTGTTTGGTGGAATATATAAGGAAAAAGCTAGCTAGCTGAGGGAGGTAACCCCCCTCAGTTCATGTCATTACTCTGAGCCCTCCAGCAGTGCTGCATAGCTGGAAAGGAAGTTAAATGTGCAACTGCATGCACAATATGAATCATTTCTGTGAAAGGAAGTCATGGTAAAGGGGTGGTAAAATTCAGACTACTCGTGATTTTAGTTTCTTGCCATTTTAAAAAACAATGTTTAATTTAAAATGCTAGCGCACAAGAGCAAACTCAGCTGCTCAGACCAAAGATCCAGCAAGCCTGGAATAACAGCTGGACAAATATATAGAAATCTTTTGAATCAAAGGTGTTGCATTGTATTTAAAGGCTGTTGAAGGATTTTTCTTGTACGACTTTTTTTCTGCCTTGAGCTCATGCAAGTTTTTATCGTCCCTAGCATCGTGTAGCAACGAGGTGCACCGCCTAACCACAAGTTGTGTGAAGATAACTCCTTGCGTGTGATTTGGACCTGTTATTTCCTAGCTTCGTTTGATAGCCTCTGGTCTTTGTATTGGAAGGAGCAAGTAATTATTGCTCATTTACCGGCTTCACACAAGATGTCCAGCTGTCTCTGACCAAAGCTGCAGAGCACTCTGTTGCTTTATGAAAGCCCTCCAGTTCTAGTGTCCCCTTCTTGAGGTGGGCTGCTGCGCTGCACACAGCTTTTAACAGGACTTCTACAGCGGTCTAGTTATATATCTGGGTTTATTCTCCAGTCCTTCTCAAGGAATTTCTAACACTTTATTTGCGTTCTAGACTGCTACTGAACATTGATTTACAAGTGGTAGTAGCCATCTCCAAGGCTGTCTTTATGAACACAAAGTTAAAATTTGTTTTTTTTCTCACATCCCTTAACTTGCATTTCTCTGTACTGAATTTTACCTGCCATTTTATTGCCTGGACATTCAGTGGCATAAAATCTTTCTGCAAGTCTCCCAGGCTGGTTTCTCAAATTATCACTTGAGCCCAGCAGAGATGAGCAAGCCTTTTATTTGCTTTGGCCGACAGCTCCGAGGCACAAAGTCCCTCAAGCCCCTCTACAGCTGGGGGTTTCACGCAGTTCCCTCCTCTCCAGCATAGGAGCTTACAGACCGCAGTCTAAGTATTTTAACAAGTCAGATACCACAGGACAGTGGATAGATACTACGTGTCCTGCAATATTTAAGGGAGAAAGAAGAAACAAAATTTGCTATGGGAGTAGAAATGTCAAGTCAGAGAAGGAAACTGAATGCAGGGATGGGAAGCAGAAAGGGGGAAAAGAATCCTTAAAAGTGTCTGTTTAAAAATGTTTGAATTCAGCAAAGTCACTGCAGTGCAGGTTAGATTATGTTTTCTTCCTTTCCTACAGTCCTGGGACGCTGCTTTAGCTAAGACTGCCAAAGCATGGGCAAAAAAGTGCAAGTTTGAGCACAATATCTACCTTAAAGTTGCAAGGAAGGTGCACCCCACCTTTACTCCTGTTGGAGAAAACATCTGGACTGGCACAGCCACCATCTTCTCTGTGGATGCAGCTCTCAATGACTGGTTTAATGAAGTCAGCAGCTATGATTTCAACACCAATCGCTGTACTGGCATGTGTGGTCACTACACCCAGGTGAGTCTTACATGTCCAATGGTTTATAATGTAATGGTTTCACAGAAAATCCAAGGGCTTGGAACAGACTGCTTTGGAACAGGAATTACAGCAGGGGTTTTCACCTCCCAGTTTATTGCTGCACGAGATTGGAAAGAAATATTCTGAGGCCCAGGGATGTCCGGGTCCTATTTCTAGTAATGGAGAAAAGGGATTTTCCCCTGACAATTTCATGCATCCAGGGGAGCCAGATAAAAAACGCAAAACCATCTATCAGTCGTTTGTCTCAGCTGCCCTTGGGATGTTGCTCCTGTGTCAGCTGTTTTAAACTTCCACAAGATCCTTCCCTTCCCCTCCCTCCCTTAATGCTGTTGCTTTCTCAGTTTTTAAACTCGTGCATTACCTATTTCCCTTTGCCCTCCAGGTCGTTTGGGCAGAGAGTTACAAAGTTGGCTGCGCCGTTCATTTCTGCAATACCGTTGAAAATTTTCCTGGACTTTTCAGAGCAGCACATTTTGTTTGTGACTATGGGCCAGCGTAAGTTAATTATGGCTGGGGGGAGGGGTATTTTTTAAATACCCTACAACTGGCCTGGTATCAGATGCCAACAAGCACAGGAACAGTTGTAATGAATTTCAGAAGCAGCTGCATCCACATGTCACCAGTCCAAGGGAAACTTCCCCCGGCCATTGAGAGCAGAAGCTGCTGGACATAGCCACAGCTGCAGAAAATCCCTTTCTAAAAAAGCAGGTGACCAAATCATAGCTGAGAGCACTCGCCATAAGCAAGATGGTGGAATAAAATCTGTTCTGGCTTCAGTCTCTGCATGAAAAGTGGGGCAGGTGCAAGCTTTCCGCTTGAGAAAGATTACATCTTCCTACAGCCCCACCCAAACTTCAAACAAGACATTTTAGTTGAAGAAATAAAAGGAAGACAGTCCTCTAGTTTATCTTGTACCTTGCAATTTCTGGACTTACCTTTTACAGATTTGTCTTTAAAATACAGGTGGGTAATGAGGGACTAGAGGCAGATTCTTGTATGCTTGTAGTGAATAATTACACTTGAATAATCAGTATTGCCTGAGAAGTCTCATTAATTTCAAGTGGCGAGAGTCACCGCGTAGCTGCTCCCCATGCTGGTGAGAGCTTTAATCTGTTCTAAAAGGAATTTCAAACAATTGCAATGATCAAGTTTGGGATAAAGGGACTTCCCCTCCCATAATAGCTTTTCATGATAAATTATTCTAACAATCTGATGGAACCATGTATTTAAAGTGCTTTTCAAATGACCAAG